TTTTGCTGCTTTATTCCAGTGTTGTGGAATGTTATCTTTACCCATTGGTGGATTTACAAGGCTTAGTACTGTGCCACTACTGGTAACTGATTGTAAAACTGACCTACAACAAGAAATTAATCAAAGCATAAAAAGTGTTATCATTTAGTAAAAAAAGCATACATAAATATGTTCAGTGTGATATCTGTCAGAGTTATACTTTTCAAATTATCAAGAAATGTGAATCCATTAGTCAAGCTTGACTATACTTACTGTTTTAAAATTTTGTTAACAGTGTCTTGTGATATGTATTTTGGTCTTCTTCTGACAGATTTACATGCCACTGTCTTCTCACTGTACTCGTACATTCCATCAAACTGTATGCGAGATGTTTGATTATCACATGTCAACTTATAATATTTCTCTGATCTTTTCTTCAGAAAACCTTGATAGACACTTTCAATCATTGCACTTGACACAACATCGATTCCTCTCTAAAAATAAACAGGAATCTGAGATGAAGAACAATCTCCATCATTAACTTTGAGAAGACACAATCACTTACCTCACAAGACACACTTGCTTACTTCACTGGACACACTCACATCACCAGACACACTCACTTACTTCACATGACACACTAACTTACTTCACTTACTGGACACACTCACCAACCTCACCAGACACACTCACTTACCTCACCAGACACACTCACTTACCTCACCGGACACACTCACATCACCAGACACACTCACTTACCTCACATGACACACTAACTTACTTCACTTACTGGACACACTCACCAACCTCACCAGACACACTCACTTACCTCACCAGACACACTCACTTACCTCACCGGACACACTCACATCACCAGACACACTCACTTACCTCACATGACACACTAACTTACTTCACTTACTGGACACACTCACCAACCTCACCAGACACACTCACTTACCTCACCAGACACACTCACTTACCTCACCAGACACACTCACTTACCTCACCAGACACACTCACTTACCTCACATGACACACTAACTTACTCCACTTACTGTCACACTCACTCACTCACTTACCTCACCAGACATACTTACTTCACCAGACACACTCACTTACCTCACCAGACACACTCAGTTACCTCACCTGACAGTCACTCAGTTACCTCACCTGACAGTCACTCAGTTACCTCACCTGACAGTCACTCAGTTACCTCACCAGACAGTCACTCAGTTACCTCACCAGACACACTCACTTACCTCACCAGACACACTCAGTTACCTCACCAGACACACTCATTACCTCACCAGACACACTTCACTTACCTCACCAGACACACTCACTTACCTCACCAGACACACTTGCTTACTTCACTTACTGGACACACTCACTTACTCCACTTACTGTCACACTCACTCACTTACCTCACCAGACATACTCACTTACTTCACCAGACACACTTGCTTACTTCACTGGACACACTCACTTATCTCACCAGACACACTCACCTTACCAGACACACTCACTTACTTCACTTACCAGACACATTCACTTACCTCACCAGACACACTCACTTACCTCACCAGACACACTCACCTCACCTGACACACTCACTCACTTATTTCACAAGGCACACTCACTTACCTCTCAAGACACACTCACTTACCTCACCAGACACACTCACCTCACCAGAAACACCCACTTACCTCACCTGACAGTCACTCACTTACTTCACTGAACACACTCACTTACCTCACCAGACACACTCACTTACTTCACCAGACACACTCACTCACCTCACTGCCATATTCATGCCATTCACAGTTTTCATCGCCCCAATACCACAGCCATTGGGTTGACAGTTTTTCATTGGACGACATTTCTACATATGATACGGTTGACAGTCGACGAATGTGACAGACCTTACCAATGCGTGAATCAATAATTACCATTTTATTGAAATCAAATAACTTTGATTTCTGCCTGTTGACAATAAAAGTTAATGCATTGTATAATCCACTGCTTGAAATGGTATACTAAGCTGAGCTGTAATAACAATCCATAAATTTAACCACCTATTAATGTTAATTACTACCCACCAGTAATAACCAGCCATTAATGTTAATAACGAGCCATCAATGTAATAACCACTCATTAATGTAATAACCACCCATAAATGTTACCGCCCATTAATGTTAATAACTACCATTACTGTAATAACCACCCATCAATATTAATAACCACCCATTACTGTAATAACCACCCATCAATGTTAATAACCACCCATCAATGTTAATAACCACCCATTACTGTAATAACCACCCATCAATGTTAATAACCACCCATTACTGTAATAACCACCCATCAATGTTAATAACAACCCACCAATGGTAATAACTACCCATTACTGTAATAACCACCCATCAATATTAATAACTACCCATTACTGTATTAACCATCCATCAATGTTAATAACCACCCATTAATGCAATAACCACCCAACAATGTTAATAACCACCCATCATCAATGTTAACAACCACCCATTAAATCAATAACCGACCATTAACATTAATAACCATCATTAATGTAATAACAAACCATCAATGTTAATAACTACCCATCAATCTTAACAACTACCCATTAAAGTAATAACCACCCATCATTCTTAATAACCATTCATCAATCCTGATAACCACCCATCAATGTCAACAGCCACCCATTGATGTAATAAACCCATCAATCTTAATAACTACCCATTAAATTAACAAGCCATGCATGGCACAGTCCCCGTTAGTTAATTTAAGATATATAGTTTTGTTTGTAGTAATATAGCTGGAATGTAACCATGTCAGGAATATGATTTTTTTAACATTAAAATGATTGACATTTGTATCTGATCGTCAAACAAGTACTTGTCCATATTGAGAGATATTGCTCTGGAACAGCATTCAAAATCAGCCATTTTGAATACATGTATATATATATAACATGATGTATAACGAATATATCACATTTGAATATAATCAGTCAAAGCATTTAAGAGATATGGCTCTAGAAGCCCAATCATTAAAACAAAATGGCCACCAGTCAGCCATTTTGAATCCAATCTGAAAAATAAAATGATGTGCATCTGGAACCTGTAATGTCTAATGTATGTTATAAGTTTGAACAAAATCCATCCATAAATGCAAGAAATTCTTGATATTTGAGGATTTCTTTAGCACAAAAATAGCCACCATTTGGCCACTTTGAAAAGGATCGTCAAACCAATATATTCGTATATGTATGACATGATGTATAATGATGTATATTAAAAATTTGAACATAATCAGTCAAAACATGTCGAAGATATGGGTCTAGAAGCCCATTCATTAAAACAAAATGGCCGCCAGTCGGCCATTTTGAATGTTATCTGAAAAACAAAATTATTTGCATCAAGGTTCCATAATGTCTAATGTATATATCAAGTATGAACAAAATCCATTTGTAAACAGCCGAGAAATGCTTGATTTTTATGATTTTTTAGCACAAAAATGGCTGCCATTCAGCCATCTTGAATCAGATCGTAAAACAAAATGATGTGCATCAAGGTCCTATAATGTCCAACATATATACAAGGTTTGAACAAAATCCATATGTAAACAGCCGGGAAATGCTTGATTTTGATGATTTTTAGCACAAAAATGGCCATCATTCGGCCATTTTTAATAGGATTGTCAAACCAATAAATCTGTATATCTATGACATGATTTATAATGAATATTTAAAATTTGAACATAATCAGTCAAAGCAAGTCAGAGATATGGCACAAGAACCACATTCATTAAAACAAAATGCCCACCAGTCGGCCATTTTGAATCTTATCTGAAAAACAAAATGATGTGCATCAAGGTCCTATAATGTGTAACGTATATACCAATTTTGAACAAAATCCATCTGTAAACAGTCGAAAAATTTGTCTTTTGTTACATACCCTTTTGATACTCTCTCATATTTCTCTATTCTAGGGTCACAGAACTTTTTTTCAGTTGACATGTTTCTTTCATCTGTGAAGTTCAACCATACATCGGCAGATTTATATTTCTGCCACATGTATGGCATCATAATGTGATGTTTCACACACTGATCGCCATAGTTACAGTTTCCATATAAGTTGTGCAGGCATATGGTAGTTTTATTGTTTTCTGTGGGTTCTTTGGTGGATACAGCGGTATCACGTTGTGGGCTTGCAGAACGTGGCGTTACACTGGCATGAATGGGTGATTTGGGGCGATGGCTCGGGGAAGGCGATCTCTTCGGACGATAAGGTTGTTTTACAGCAGTAGAACCGCCGGAATGAGAACGACTTGTTGGTTTATCACGGGATTTGTAAATTGCTCCTTGTTTAACGCATGTTCCTTCGGTCATCATGAATCTTAACTTATGTAGAATTTCACTTGGTTTCTGACTGGTATCAATTCCATATTTCTCCAATACCATCTTAGGTTGCGGTTCGTATATACGGTGTGAAAATGTACACATATCCCCGTATCTGCAATGCGCCGTAATGTACGACCGACAGATATGCAAACTTAGACAAGCGTTTTTGTTGCATCCAGTTGAGGTGTTGTAGAACCGACAGATATCAGGACGGAAACAATCCGGACAGCTGCGTTTGAGAAGAATTTTCAAGCTTTCCTCGCTGAACTCGTATAATTTATTCTTTCGCAAGATTATATGATTGTGGGGATCGCTTTGAAAAGAGTGAGATGAACGACATCTACGAGAGTGGCTTGATGTTTGGCTGCCATATATACATGTTCCTAATATGAAAAGTTTACAGATGTGTAATTTGTTGCAAGATTGAGGACTTGGACATCCGCCTTTTCTATGGTAGGCATCACACAACGTAATACAATTTTTCACTCGTACTCGCCAATTATTCAGTCCGCTGCCGTGACGTTGAACTTCAAATAGATGATGATATCTAGAAAAAAAGACTTCTGGTCTGGCCTCTCCAAAATACTCACGGCTCTTAGTTACTCCCAGTGCCTCTGTCAGTTCAGACAGTTCAACACATCCCTCGTACAAGTTACAAATAATACCAACTATTTCCTCGGCTATTCCGTCTTCAGTACTTGCCGTTTGTCGCGGCCAATCGTCAGACTCTGTCACGGGCGGTGCATTATATGTCTGGCCGTGGCGTTTGCTATAGGCAGCCATCACTAGTGTTTATACAAGAAATGGCGGATAAATATAATGGATAGGATAGGATAGAATAATGTCAGGTCAGCATTTCTGCGTAATGGCAGCCTCACTCTGACAATTCGTGGAAATCATATCAGTTACATTACGATCACCTGATTCAGTGTGACCTAGTTTAGTCCGTTATAGTTACGTGCATTACGGGACATTAGTGATACTAGCAGTTTGTTTATTTTGCAGACAGACAGGTTTACCAACGATTATGGAGAATAACATAGCCTTAGCAAAATATTTGAAAAACACAACTTTTAAAACCACAGAAAGTAATTAATTTTATTAACATTTCTCTTTTATTTTCCCTTTTAATTTTACCTCTTTCGAATTTTATGGTATTGGGATTAAAATATGCACATTTTTTGAGTAAAAACTGAAAATGTACCGTACTCAAATGTTTCCAAGCTTTAATTAGGTAATTTTCATGCGATTGGAAGGCATCGAAGGAGTCACCGTTGGTAATCAGTGCAAGTCGCACTCAGGTCAAACGTCATACTTGTGATTTCCATTTGAAAAGCGCATTGTATTGTGGAAAATCAATGTTTATCAACACAAATGTCGACGACTATCGCGCTTTAAGCTTTTACTCTGGTCATACCTGGCAATAATAGATACATAATTCAGATATTTTAGTTTCATTCATTTTGTGTACAGTATTCATGCACTGAGAGCTAACTTTTGCATACAATTAATATAACAAATAAAGGTCCATGTCACAAACGAGTTTGCTTAAATATTATGCTTGGGCTCAAACTAATGCTGTGCAATCCTTGTCACTTAAGTTTTTCTATTGTTGATAATTGACTGACTGGTGGCTTCCCCCCCCCCCACCCCAAAAACAAACAAACTGCATTTTGGCATGGAATGCCTGGGCCAATTTCATTCCAACATAATTGTGACATAATAGCCGACAGGCGGGCATCACATTTTCTTTATATGTTCCCAAATTTTTCTGCGACCTACTCTCACTAATTTTGTTAACTTTTGATACAATTTTCTCAATTTAGTTTGTTTTGCACTCATTCAATCACTAACAGTCATCGGTCAAGTGTATTGAGCAAATTACGTGCATGGAAACTTACAAACTGAGCGACAAAATTCTTTTGAAACCAGTGCATCAAAGATTGTAAGTATTTCATTGGCCAAAATTGTTGAGATAGCAAGTAAGCATCGAGGTAAACATGCGTTTTTGTTCTAAGCCAAACAATTTTACTCAAAGTCAACTATAATACAATTTAGGTACACCCATATAATAGCATACATATCACTGTACAAATGGTGGTAGCAGCAAATGTTGGGATTTATTTTCTACCCAATATTTCCTGCCAGATTTCAGCAACTTTTACATCACTACGTTTAGTTGTGGACAACATTCCCGAGATTACATATATCATGACAAGTTATTGTGGTTGGATACAACTTGATAGTGTAGTCTGTAGATAGCAATAGAAGGGCTTTTACTTTCATGTATAGAACAGTTGCTTTGATTATATTACTTTGTGGTTTATTTAGTTTGCAGTTGAGCAAGGCTAACCAAGTCGTGACCTCGATGTGATTCGTAACCAGACTTATGATTGGTTGTTGAGAAATGCTGAACAGGCCACGCCTCCAACTGTGCTGTGCGTTCAGGCAAACCGTAAATTATTCGTAAATGGAGTCAATTTGTGTAGTTTTCTTGATTTATTCTGCAGATATAGGTAAAATATAGGTAAGGCTTTGGCGAAATTTGAAAGAGCAACTAATATTCTTCAACCTGGTATTTTTAATAGATTTTATTTTTCATTCTGTTTGTCAGTTTTTTCCAGTTTAAAAAATATGACCCGGCTGGAGCCTTCATCCCTTGTCCATTTCTTACACTACCCTGGGAGATACCAGCCGATACCCCCCCCCCCCCTTCATAGGGAGTGCGTACAGTTGATCATAGTTCCTGGGCTCCCTGTGAACACATCTGCCAATTATGGTAATCAGAATACACTCACTAATGGCGTTGTTGCAGCTTTTGCAAGCATGCCTCAACGTCAACATTTAACAATTGAAGAAAGAGCCAGGGCCATAGGCTGGTTGAATAGGGGTGTTTACTTGTGAGAAGCTGCAAGAAGGCTGAATGTGAGCCTATCTGGTATTTACAGACTATCCACAGTGCTTCAGAGAAACCCATACAGCACATGGCAGACCCAGGTCAGGTCGTCCATGTGTCACAAGTGCTGCTGAGGACCGCTACCTCCTTATCTCAGCCCTTTGTAACCGAACCGCAACTGACAATTCCCTACGTAGGACCCCCAGAGCAGCAACTCATACCAACGCGAGTGACCAAACTGTGCAGAACTGTCCGAGGACCAGAAATGTCAGGCCTAGGCACCAGGCTGTTAGGCCAGTCCTTCTCCCACGCCACAGAACTGCTCGTTTTGACTGGGCTCGACAGCACTTTCGTTGGACACTTCGACAGTGGTCTTCTGTCGTCTTCACAGACGAGTCACTTTCCAGAACAATTCTTGTCTATAAGACACCATGGTGAACGCTTTAATGATGCCACCATCAGACAGCACAACCAGTTTGGCGGTGGCAGCATCATGGTATGGGGTGGTTTCAGCTACCACCAAAGGACCCCTCTCCATGTTATTGATGGCAACTTAACTGGATTACATTACAGAGACGAGATCCTGCGACCTATTGTGTTACTTAGGAGGATAGGAGCTGAGGCAGTCCTACAGGATGATAATGCCAGACATTTGTGGGATCAACTTGGTCTTCGTGTTATGGGCAATCATCCCCCACCAGTGGATCGTCAGCTAGCTCAATGGCCGACCCAGGAGTGGCAAGCGATACAACGTTCATTGCAGAGATTAGTGACATCCATGAGGCGATGTTGTGCAAGAGGTGGTCACACCCATTATTGAAATGTTTTCTGAACTGGGATTTTCATCCTTTCTCTCCTTCAGAACATGTGTAATGATTACATGCAGTCCTTTATCTGTTTCATTGTGCAGATGTTTCACGTCAATTATGTGACCAAATGGGTTTATCTGAAATAAAGGATCTTGCTGTAACTGAGAATATTCAAGTGTTCTTTAAATCGTTTTGAGTAGTATATGTAGTATCATAGCAATCAGACTTTCTGTTTTTAACAAAAATGACAAATAATCAAAATTAAAGAATTGATATCATCATGAAGTATCAAAGCATTCAGGCTTGTAGTTTTCAAGAAGAAGTCGAAAAAGTAAAACATTGACACGGACGACGACTGACAATCACTCATATGATAAGCTCCGCTCGACAAAGTCGACAGCGGAGCTAAAAAGAGCTGTCAGTATTATGCAAGAAACAAAATCACTTTGTTATGTGTTTTTTTATTTCATCTTTACATAAAATGTTCAGCAAGAATAATTCCAATAACGACCGAGAATGACATGACTCCTCACTATCACATCTGTTCTAAGCTGCAATTATGAATTAATCTCTAGTACAATAAAACAAGTAAAATGTACAGCTCAGATCATTGTGATATTACATCATCTATTTCAACATTTCTTGGTAACCCACATCATTAACCAAAATATGTTTCTCATCTTCAAATAAAGACCAGGCTAAAAACCTATGGTATTGCACAATGGCTAAAATAGAGTATCAGATTTCCATTTAATACCTGCCAAACTATTAGTTTAGGTCATTCTTGTGCCCCCCCCCCCCAATTCCACGCATGTATTGCTTTAGTTTGCACAAGATGACCTGCCATGGACAAGATTCAAATTGGTGGCCATCTTGGAAGGTCACATAATTCACCGTGAAAAACAACTAATACTCAGATCAAATTTTTCAAGGATGGTGGTGGGGATTTGTTAGTTAAAACACATATTGCTAATTTTCATTACATGTGCATATATATATTAAATTAATAATATTGTTAACATGACTTTACAATCAATATAAACAGAAATTTGTTTTCTCTGCCATTCTAAGTCGCCTTCAAAAGTTTGAAAAACCTGAAAGTAGCATTCATCTTCTTTATTAGCACACCAACAGAAATGTTCAAATAGAGATGACTGCAAATGATGAATTTATTCTGCTTTCTCTTTCTTTTCATCTTTGTGATGCAAGTAGACAAATGTGAATAGAAAAAGTCCAGCCATCATAGAAAGAGCACTAGCATAGTATGGAAAGGCACATGGTATAAAACGCTCAAACTGTGTATGTTGGAATGGACGCACAGACACCTGAAAACAAAAAAAGATTGATAATTAAAACATAGCACAACTATGACAACCTTCTCCATAAAGATTCCAGAAACAATCAATTAGGCCATGTAAAAACAAATATTTTTGTGGGTGGTCCAATTGATTGAATAGATATAGAAAATTATGTTTTCGAAGTGATTGCATTGTTTGAATATTTTTACAATGTATTAAAACTGGGCTTGAAGTGTGTATTGAATAAATATAGCATTTTTCCCCAAAGAATCTCAGACAAGTAGTTTATTTAAAAATTGAGACTTGACCCAATTTAAAAAAAACTTACACACATGTTCAAGAAATCTGATACGAAAAGACCACCTGTCATTTTGTTGCAGTCAACAAATTGTATGTATCACTCCCCACACATGTAAACAAACATGGTAACCTGCAAAACTCCCAAGCTGGTTTACAGGACACATTAATTAATTAATATGTCATTATATCTTTTTTGGAGGATGTAGTGGCCCTTAAAAGGCCAGTTTTGTTTGTGTTGCAAGACAAAAATTTATTTATTCCAGAAAAACCCCCAAATCAGTCATCTTCATCATCATCATCAAGCAAAAGGTCAAATAATTTCTGCGATTTCCTCATTGCTTCTTATGAGGTAGTCTTCTACACCGTTAACTGAGTTGGTGATACTTAGAAAGACTTGGACACCATCGATCTACTCACTTCTACCAGACATTGGCGATCCAGTCAATGATTGTCTGCTCATCAGCAGTTGTTAATCTGGAA